AGGCGCTAGGAAGGCACTGATTGGCCTCCCAGAGGCAGCGGAGCCCGCTGATTGGTCCAGAGGCGAGGCATGTTGCCAAACCTCCTCCCAGCTGTTCGGCCAGCCAATCAGCCCGAAGCCGGCTGACAGAGGGTGGGCGGGGGTTTTGAAACTGTTTTCCTTTGTCTGTGTACTATAAAAATGCTTGGAAATTCTGTAAAATCATGCTTGTATGTGAATGATCACTGCAATCGCATCCTTTTCAGCTGAATCGCAGAAATAAACGCCTCGGTCACTGAACCTCTTCAGCCTCTGGTGAGATTAATTTTTAATATTTCTCGTTCTTTGGATTGGCTTTCGCTGGCTGCTCACCGAGGTCAACGGACCCCTTTAGCGGTCTTCAGGGATCTCTCCCGCTGGGAGACCCCCAAAAAGAGCTCGATATCATTTGGCGACCACGAAGGGACTCCTGCTTGAGGTCCAGCCTAAATTATAGCCTAAATTTTCAAGCAGGCACCTTGGTCCAGGAGCTTGGGCCAGGCTGCTGGGAGGAATGGCTTGGGAAAAGAGGCGCCTCTCTTAACTTGGACTCTTCTTCTTGACAAAACTACAAATTCTCCCAAAGCCAAATTTCCTCCCAGTCTCTGACCTGGGTTCCCGGTGCAAAGGAGTGCCAGGGAAGCCTTGATCCAAGGACTTCCTGGAAGAGGAGCGACCGACGCGGAAGGGGGAAGACATCTGAGGGGTAAGTAACAGCAACCGCGGGCAGGCCAAGATTTCTCAGGTGGGAGGGGTCCTGGGTCCCTTTGCTCAGCTTCGGAGTAAGACCACTGGGTGTCGGGATTGCGGGGCTCGGTAACAAATTCCTGAGTGAGGTCTGGGAAGATCTGGCGATTTGGGTTTGGATATCTGCAGTCCAATTTGCGTTTTGCATACCTGGAACTCTGTTGGGAGGGGAAGCGTCCTTCCCCTTGCCTGCAAGTTGCCAGGCATTGGCCACTCAGTCCTAGTGGAAGGGACTCTTGGAGAAAAGTCTTTGTTGCGGTTGGCAGGACATTTCCCATTAACTGCTAGGTAGGCAGGGGCTGAGCTAGGAATGAGTGTTTGTGGGCCCAAGCTCAAACGTCCTGTCTCAAAGGAAACACCTTTAGATAAGTTCTTGGCCAATTGGGACAGGCAGGCGTCACGATTCGTCGACGCAGGCCAAGATGGTCAAATATAGCATGCCCAAGTGGCCCTTAAGGCCCTTGGAAGGTGGAACCTCCTGGTCCCCACATGGCAGCGTGGAAGACTGTCATGGACGGGCAAAAATGGGAAGAAATTGCTCATATTTCATGCTTTTTGACCAAAGCCGGAAGGGGGTGGAGGGAGGAGCTTGT